GGAAAAACAGGGTGTGAGACCATCTAATTATTAATTTTTGCGTAAAAGCAGGATAAAAGCCAAAAGATACTCAGTGGCTACGAATGAACAGAGAAGACAAAAATTTAATGCATTGGCGCTTTGAACCGATTTATTACTCACACTGACCATGATATATATAGGTAACCGGTTCGCAAACTATACACCACATTCAACCCACCTTTCCTTCCAAGTTTAACTGCTGCATCTCTTGGTCACTATTTCCAATCCCAATAAAGGCGCATGGTTGCGACTCTTGCTCGGAACAGCCATCTCGCTCCATTTGTTCTTTTTTTTTCTTCCATCCACTTCCCATAAGGTAGACGCACGGAGGAGGGCAAAAAAATCTGAAGACAAAAGAGCAGAATGTGAGATTCACCTGGAATGTGCATTCCCTTTCAGAGCGAGATCATTGGTATCCAGAGCAAAATTCCATTTTCGAAGGAAAACGCACCAAAAGGAATTCTTAAAGATCCAACTCATCCTGGGCACCTTTATTTTATTTTTTTTGAACTATTACCATCTGACAGATAGTACAGGATAATAAAAACAAGGACAAATAAGCTGAAAAATAGCTTCTATCCTTGAAGCCTCCGGAGCATGAAAAACCGGCCCTACGGGCAAACCGGAGGTTTGGGAACTGACTTCCGGTTTGCTCGTAGCACCATTTCCCCCGGAGCCTTCAGGAAAGCCTCTTGAAGGTTCTGAAGGGCGAAAAATGGACCTATGTAGAAACCGAAAGTTACTTCTGGTTTGCTCATAGGGCTGGTTTTTGCCCTCCGGAGCCTTCAGAGAAGCCTCCTGAACGCCCCTGAAGGCTCTGGAGGGCAAAAATAGGCCCTTCCAGAAGTCATCAGTTCCAAACCTCTGGGTTCTCCGTAGGTCCATTTTTCGTCCTCCGGAGCCTTCAGGGGCCTTCAGGAGGCTTCCCTGAAAGTTCCGGAGGGGGAAAATCGGCCCTACGAACAAAATGGAAGTGACTTCCAGTTTGTCCGTAGGTCTGTTTTTCACCCTCCGGAGGGCATCCGGGGGAGGCTGTTTTCACCCTCCTCAGGCTCCTAGAAAGCCTCTGGAGCCTGGGGAGGACGAAAAAACCATGCCGGGGCATGGGGGGGGGGGTGTCGGTGCTGATTGAATTGAATTTATTATATTTCTATGCCGCCCTTTTCCCCAAAGGGGACTTAGGGCGGCTCACAACCAAAGTCAAGGTGGGGGGGTACAAATAAGGGAAAAAAACACGAACAAAACAATACCACAANACTTGGCCTTATTTTCGGGGAGGTCTTATTATTTTTGAGGTGCAGGAGGTGGCGGTCGTGGTCACCTTATGGCTGCTGCTGTGTTGCAATATTTTTGGGGAGGGCTGAATTTAGGGGGAGGGCTTATTTCAGTGCATGCGCTCAAAAGCCCAATTGGGCTTATTATTTGGGGAGGTCTTATTTTTTGGGAAATATTTTAAAATTCAAATGGTATATGGCTCCAATTTATTGCATTTCAGAAAAAAAAGGTTAGCAGCATGGTGAGAATTGCAAGTACATGTGTGTTCCCGACTTCACAAAAAGAAAATGAATGAGTTGGATCAGCATCAAGTATTTGTAAAATAAATAAGTAGCTGATACACATATTCCTGCTTTCTTTTTTTCCTACAAAAGGGAAAATTAAATGGAAATATATTGCTTTTTCTGTCATTTAAACCCAAAGTTTTAGTTGATTTCTTCCAAATAAGACCGGATTGTACCATCCAAACATGACAACACGTTCAGCTTGCTTGGGAACAATCAGAGAGGATGTAGAACTTAACTTCCCTTCCCCCTCTTTTCTTTCCTTTTCTTTCCCCCTTTCCCCTTTCCTTCTTATAATTGTGTTGTGATTAATCTTAATCATTATCATCTTCTTCACCTAACGACCCCATAATCCCTTGAGAGGTGGAGTCTGGGCAACTGAATGGAGCTAGCGGAGTGTTTTAATGGCCGGATGCCCGTCCTGTCACCAATGCAGAGTTTTGTTCAGCAGATATATTCTTATTGTGCCCAGAGACCTAAGGATCGAACTCACAGATAATGAGGCGAGAGCGCTACCTCTAGGCCACTGCACCACTCTGTGTCATAAATCTTGTTGCGTTGTATTAATACAGTAATGTTGATATAATTCATTACATTCTTTAGGCATTTTTATACAATTCACTCTGCGTGAAACAAAAGCAAATATTCTCCGTGCGGTATAAATCTTTTGTTCATTATAAACTAGGATAAAACAATAATGCTGCCTTATTATGACATGGTAACATAATTATGACTGTGTGTTCTAGTCCTGCTTTAGGTATGAAAACCAGCTAGATGATTTTGGGCTAATCATTCGCTCTCAATCCCTCATCTCACAGAGTGGTCAGGAGAACAGGAGGGAGGGAGGAATATTAGGGATGTTCAACACCCTGAGTTAATTATAAACGCAATAAAGGTGAGGATTAAATAAAAATAACATCCCCATGAAGTTACTGGACCAATTCGTTATTGTCAGTGATGAAATCATGAAGTCATATTAGATCAAGAATTCTCTCTATCATGTAATGCTTAGTAATCCCTGCAAAAGAAGGAACTGTCTCTCGCCATGAAACTATTTTATCTTTTCATTTTCTCTGATAAACAGGCAATTTCAGTTTGCTGAGAGAAACAAAGCCAGCAATGTCGGAAGATGTTTTCAGACAGGATATTTAGTAATCTAACTCCCTTTCAGTGAGTAAAAGCAAGGAAAGTAGTATTTTCTTTTATTAGCCAGAATGTTTCCACATTTATCAGCATCACCATGACATGAATTTTGTTCAACAAAGAAAGTTCAGCATATAGGTACAGGTAATCCTCGTTTACTGACTACCCTCCGACAGTGACTATTTGCAGCTCAATGGTGGTGAAAAAGTAAACTCTACCCAATGTCCATATTTACAACCTTGGTAATGTCTCTCTCTCTGGCACATATTCACCTACAATCAGTTAATACACCCGGTCCTGTTTTAATCTATTTATCTCAAATTGCCAAAACAAGCTATCACTTTCCGAGCTGCTTTTCTCCACAGCACAAAGTGCCAAATGCAAGTTAACAAATTCAGCTCGGTAACCTTCATTAGCTGATTAGAGCCCTCCAGCTGATAAACTTTGCCTGACACTGACAAGACCCTAATCAGTTTCATGATTGTCTGCCCATAAGTAGTTCACAGGCATCCTGCCAGGAAAACATCTGGCACTACTTCGTTCCTTTGATGTGTGTTGGATGCTAATGTGTACACATTAGAGTGTGCAGAAATGAATAGACTAACATTGGCAATTAAGGAGAAAGAACAAATTGACGATTATATGATATGGGAAATGTTTTATCAATGGTTGGAGAATAAAAAAGGAAATTGAAAATAAAAGAAGGTAAAAAGAAGAATAGAAAATATATTAAGATAGAGATAGGAATAAAATGACAATTGTTAGTATGAGTATTATGATAATAACTATGTTTAATCTTATTGTATTGTATTTTTATTAGAAGATTTGTTAAGAGGGAAATGAAGAGCTTTACAATGTTTAACTGTTCAATGTATTATAATTTATGGAAGAATGTTGCACGTAAATATTTGTACCCAGACGACACACTGCTTATGGAAAGATGGGACTGTTTATATTTTTTAAAGTGGAAAATAAATTAAAAACTTAATAAGATTTGTCCTTTTACCCGGTTTTCTTGTGAGTCAAGCTTTAAAACCATCCCCACCATTTGGGCTCACCCAGATGTTTGGAGCGATATCTTGAGCTGTGGTAGGGCAGTGGTTAGAATGCAACATTGCAGGCAAACTCTGCATTCAACCGCCAGCAGTTCGATTCTTCACTCAAAGAAGGTTGACTACTCAGCATTCCATCCTTCTGAGGTGGGTAAAATGAGGACTCAGATTGTTTGAGGGGGGGGGGGGATATGCTGACTCTGTAAACCGTTTACAGAGAGATGTAAAGCAGTATATAAGCCTAAGTGTTATTGCTATCCTCCTGAGGATGCAAAGCAAAGGAAAGCTGAAGTAAAATCATAAGGGCAGTTGTGACTGTGTGATTTTTCACTCAGCAACCACTCTGCTTAAAGATTGAGATGCCGGTACAATTGCAGTCACTAAAGAAGTATGAAAACAGGATTTCAAAAAACCCTAACATGTTTCCCCGAAAATAAAGACAGGGTCTTATTTTCTTTTGACCTACGAAATAAGCGCTTGGCCTTATTTTCGGGGAGGTCTTTATTATTTTTGGGGTGCAGGAGGCAGTGAGCGTGGTCATCTCATCACTGCTGCTGTGTTGCAATATTTTCGGGGAGAGCTGAATTTAGGGGGAGGGCTTATTTCAGCGCATGTGCTCAAAAGCCCAATTGGGCTTATTGTTTGGGGAGGTCTTATTTTTGGAAAAACAGGGTGTGAGACCATCTAATTATTAATTTTTGCGTAAAAGCAGGATAAAAGCCAAAAGATACTCAGTGNAATAATAATAATAATAATAATAATAATATATAAACTATTTGGTAACAAAAACGTACTATATGTTGTGATACAAAAAGGCATGGTGAAAATGTACCTTTTTCTCTACTAAAGTGTTCCTTGGTCCATAAAAACCATGTTTTGTCCATGTTTTACTAGTTCAATTTGAATCTCAGCCACTTTTGTTTAACTGCAGTTGCGTGTCCATTTTTGAAGAGACAACTAAAAATAGATATTTTTTTTCCATAAAGGGGGTTGCTGCTCCCCCCCCCCAACGCATTTCATTTTTATTGTGGCTTCGAATTGAGATCAGCACTTGTAGGTGATAAAAGTTCATACGGCGACAAAGGGGGGGGGGAGTTGTATTATTTTTTTCTCTTTTTTTTCTTTTCTTTCTCCTTCCCCCTTGGGGAAACCACGAAAGTTGTTCGGTTTCAGTCTTTGAAGCACTTGAAAAGTTGTGTGGGGTTTTTTTGTTTTTTGTTTTAAAAGAAGTTCCCGCACATAGAGCGGTGGGTTAGGAAACCACGGTGGCTGTGGACGATGTGACGCTACTGGGGTTTGTGCTGACATTTGTGTACAGCCCCTCACTGTTTGTGTTCGATTCGCTGGCGGCCAGGAGGCTCGAGTTGGCGCGGAGGATGGCCCCGGCGGCACTGCAGTGCGGTCGGGGGCCGGGCTCTGGGGTGTAGGTGAAGGTAAGGCTGGTGGAGTAAATGATGCCGTCGTTGCGCACTAACGTGACCGGAACCTGGACGGGCTGACGGACCCACCGCCATCCTTCCCGGAAGGCAGAGATATCTGGGACGACACACAGCATGCTCTCCGCACATCTAGGAAAAAAGCGGAAGAAGGCATTAACTTCCCCCCCAGGAAAAAACATCTGCCGTGACTTTTCAAATTCGTATAATATTATTTTATTCATTATTTGATTTTCTTCCATTAGTTTTATTTTTTTCGTAGCCGATAGCCCAGCATTGCATGGGTATTTATTTATAGGGGGAAAATGTCTGGACCAAATGTAATTTCTAAGGTTGGATTTTCCCCCTTACCAGAGGGAGCCTTGGAGTACTGTGAAGCCATTACCATGGCAATTCCACAGCGCTGTACAGTAGAAGCCATTTTACGGCAGTACAGTAGAAGCCGTATGTATGTATGTTTGATGTTTTCATATTCCTGTAAACCACCTTGAGTCACTGTGTGCGAATAGTTAAATATAAATTTAACCGCTGTGGCATTTGCTTAATGAGTGGTGGGGAAAAAAATGAAAAGCTGTAAAATTGGATGCAAAAACCTGCTCACCAACATGACTTACTACCATAATTCCAGGCACAACTGTGATCTTAGGTTGAGGATTACTTGTGTGCAAATTCATGTAATTTTATTATTTTAGTTAGGTAAATGATTGATGAATGTCTTCCCTTTACAGAGTCCCAAGCAAGCATCCAGGATTTACATCAACATTGCAAAGGTTATACGACACCTGTACATCGTTTCAGCTTCCACATCCCCAAACCAGACACGCAAATTTGGAGTGAAGTTCTGTCCGGTTAGTTCCAGCATTGCTACATCTCCACCACCATTGAGCTTGTGAAAATAAAAGGAAAGATAATGAACTATGTTTATCATGTGAGACAAGCACAAAAATGCAGTGATTCCAGAGAACCCCTATTTCAATTAATGGAGCTTCTTTTTTTTGGAGGGGGGCGGGGAGACAGCTGAATCTTCAGAAGGGAAATTTTCATCCTTATTACCAGTTGAATATTTTAGAAGGCTATCAGCTTCTATCGGCCGTCCCAGGTAGACCAGTGTTCTGACCGAGGCTTCCCAAGAGCATGATGCAAACTCCTAGTCCCGAAAAAAACCCTTTTATTAACTGACTATGAATTCTGCTCATTCACAGCTGGCAAAGTCTTTCAAGGGAGGATTTACAGTCACNTAAAAGGAAAGGGGAGGGAGGAAGGAGAAAAGGAAAGGGGAGGAGGAAAGGGAAGGAAGGAGGAAAGGAAAGAGGGAAGGAAGGATAAAAGGAAAGGGGAGGGAGGAAGGAGAAAAGGAAAGGGGAGGAGGAAAGGGAAGGGAAGGAGGGAGGAAGGAGGAAAGGAAAGAGGGAAGGAAGGAGAAAAGAGAAGGGAAGGGAAAGAAGGAAGGAGGAAAGGAAAGGGGAGGATGAAAGGGAAGGGAAGGAGGAAGGAAGGAGGAAAGGGAAGGGAAGGAGGGAGGGAGGAAGGAGGAAAGGAAAGAGGGAAGGAAGGAGAAAAGAGAAGGGAAGGGAAAGAAGGAAGGAGGAAAGGAAAGGGGAGGATGAAAGGGAAGGGAAGGAGGAAGGAAGGAGGAAAGGAAAAGAAAAAGGGAAGGAAGGAGGAAAGGAAAGGGAAGGACAGAAGGAGAAAAGTTAAGGGAGGGAAGGAAGAAGAAATGGAAAGGGAAGGAAGGAAAGGGAGGGGAGGAAAGGAGGAAGGAAGGAGGGAAGGAGGAAAGGAAAAGAAAGCGAGGAAGGAAAAGAGAAAAAGAAAGGAAAGGAAAGAAAGAAAGATCTAAGGACATAGTTCTGAATCTTGGCAACTTTAAGATGGGTGGACTTCAACTCCCGCAATTCCCCAGCCGAGATAAAGTCAGATTTGCCGGGTACATGAGGGCATTTGAAGAAATAATCCTGCTGAGGACAAGCTAAGAGAAAGCAGGAAAAAAAAATCGATGCAGCTAATAACATTCTCCCCGACTGCTCCTTTCCACAGGACGGAGGTTGCTGAGTTACGTCTGCCTGGCTTTCGACACTAAAGAAGAAAGAGAGGAAGAACGCTGTGACCAGACCCAGAAACCAGCGAGCCGCCTGGAAATTTGCAACCCTGACCCATGCCCCCCAAGGTAAGGTGTGTGTGTGTGTGTGTGTGTCTGCAGACATTCCCCGCTTATATGGGTAGTCCTCGAGTTACGACTGTATAATGGAACCCACCTATCGTGGTCGTTAAGGCGCGACAGTTGTAATCCACCCCACGGCCAAATGGATTTTATCACTTTTCTTGTGGCGGCTGTTAAGCGAATGACACCGCGGTTAAAAGTGAAATAATAATAATTTCGACAACCGGTGTGTAATTGTGATGGTTGCGGTGTTTGTGTGTGTGTGATGTGATTGCCATTTAGGACTTTCTGAGCAAACTCCCAACAAGCAAAGTCGACGGGGAAGCTGGCTTCGCTTAGTGGCCACAGGATTCAACTTAACCACAGCTTAACTAGTGTGGCCAAAAAAAACCCCAAAACACTTCTGTGAAAAAAATCAGGCGCGCTTCGGGTAACACCCTCCTTGTTTAGTGACAGAACATCACTCCGGTCTCAGTTGTTGTAAGTCCGAGGATTACCTCGCTTTATGAAGTTCCTGCACTGGCTCTCGAATCCCAGAAGATGGTCCTTAAACAGGGGCAGGGAAAATGGTGGCATAGGGTAAGGCCACGCTTGGAATACAGCATTCAGTTTTGGTCGCTACGATGTAGAAAAGATGTGGAGACTCTAGAAAGAGTGCAGAGAAGAGCAACAAAGAGGATTAGGAGGCTGGAGGCTAAAACATATGAAGAACGGTTGCAGGAACTGGGTCTGTCTAGTTTAATGAAAAGAAGGACTACGGGAAACATGATAGCAGCCTTCCAGTATCTCAGGGGCTGCCCCAAAGAAGAGGGAGTCGAGCTATTCTCCAAAGCACCTGAGGGTAGAACAAGAAGCAATGGGTGGAAACTAATCAAGGAGAGAAGGAAGTTAGATTTAAGGAAGAATTTCCTGACAGTTAGAACAATTAATCAGTGCAACAGAAGTTGCCTCCAGAAGTTGTGAATGCTCCAACACTGGAAGTTTTTAAGAAGAGATTGGCTAACCATTTGTCTGAAGTGGTGTAGGGTTTCCTGCCTAAGCAGGGGGTTGGACTAGAAGACCTCTGAGGTCCCTTCCAACTCTGTTATTCTATTCTAAATGAAAGGGCTGCCTTTCTCACCTGGATTCTGCCTCTCTCCTTCCCACTCAGGTGGTTTTACAAGCAAGGTGCGTGTAGTGTGACGTGCGGTGAAGGTGTTATGCGCAAGGTCTTGTACTGCGCACGAGGGACTGGGGAGGAGGAAGAGGTCCTGCCAGACGCAGCCTGCGAGGACTCCTTGCGCCCTGAAGAACAGGAAGCGTGCCACCTGGAATCCTGTCCACCCAGGTGTTTAACTTTGTCCTAAATTGGGAGATTAGCAAACAATTTTCCTTTAGTTTATTTTAGTTTATTTTAGTTTATTTTAGTTTATTTTAGTTTATTTTAGTTTATTTTAGTTTATTTTAGTTTATTTTAGTTTATTTTAGTTTATTTTAATTTATTTTAGTTTATTTTAATTTATTTTAGTTTATTTTAATTTATTTTAGTTTATTTTAATTTATTTTAGTTTATTTTAATTTATTTTAGTTTATTTTAGTTTATTTTAGTTTATTTTAGTTTGCTTT